GGGGGAGCTACAAAGGCAAGAAGTGACTGGCTTACAAGTTTTCAGTTCCAGAGGGAATGGGGAAAGGTAGACTCTCCACTGCATTGTTTCCAACCTGTCTGGATGGGGTTTATAAAAGGTGAGGGAGATAGGACTCCTGTGGTTCAGTAGGGAATGATTGCTATCAGGTCTGACAGTGAGTGTTGGAAAGGTACATGGAAACGTTTTGTAACAAAAGGAGGGGAGTAGCTGATTTTGTAGTCCAGGAGTGGAGATCCCTGGAACCATCAAGGGAGAAAAGTGAAGTGCAGTGTGGGACCCTGTCCCGGAAAGCAGTGACACCAGGGATGGAGGCATAGAGGATGGCATGGAGAGAAGGAGTGGCTGGGGACTTTGGACCCAGGGAGGGAGAGGGGCTGCGGGGCAGGCGTGTAGGGTATACCCTTTGGTTGGTTGATGATGCATGCAGGGGATTGTAATCATTGCAATGAAAGGAAATACCAAAAGGATGAATGTAAAGATAATGTTCTCCCATATAAACTAACACATAATTCACAATAAAAACTTTAAAAAAAAAGAAGCAGTTGAAAATGTCACCAAAAAGAAATGACAGAATAGGGAACTCCAACCTCCCAACTCCCCACAAAATGTTCAGGTTTCAACAAAAAAATTACCAAACAGACACAGAAACCAACTATAGTCCAGTCACTGGAGAAATTAGCAAACACTATCCCTGGAGTCTTGGTATGGCCCTGTAGGATACAGCACTGGACCACAAGGTCAGTTTCAACCTCAAGTCAGTGGTTCAAATCCACCAGCCATTCCGTAGACACCTGTCTATAATAGGGTTGCTATGAGTTGGCATGTAACAACAACAATCCCTAAATAAATCAAGCATTTGATTTGCACAAGGCCTCTTTAAAATGTTCAAGAGCAAAGATGTCACTCTGAAGACTACGGTGCACCTGACCCAAGTCATGGTATTTTCAATTGCCTCACATACATATGAAAGTTAGACAGTGAATAAGGAAGACCGTAGAAGATTTGATGCATTTGAGTTATGGTGTTGGAGGAAAATACTGAAAATACCATAGAAGGTCAGAAGCAGAAGGGCCAGAATGCTCCTTAGAAGCCAGGATGGCGAGACTTTGTCTGTCATACTTCAGACATGTTTTCTGGAGGAACCAGTCCCTAGAGAAGGACATCATGCTTAATAAAGTGGAGGGTCAGTGGAAAAGAGGAAGACCCCCAACCAGATGGATTGGCACAGTGGCAGCCGCAATGGACTCAAGAATCATTGTGAGGATGGCGCAGGACCGGGCAGTGTTTTATTCTGTTGTGCATAAGGTTGCTATGAGTTGGAACCAACTCAATGATACCTAACAACATCTCTGAGAAGCCTAAACATTAGGGTTACCAGAAAAAGACTTTCAATTCATTGTCTTAAATATACATAAAAACAAAACACTAAAAATGAGGGACCACCCTCAACATAATAATGAGCATTTATTAAAAAAAACAAAACAAAAAAAACACAGCTAACATCAATGGTAAAAGGTTGAAAGCTTTTCCCTAATATCAGGAAAAAGATACAAATGCCCATTTTCACCAGTCTTATTCAACACTGTACTGGAAGTTCTAGACAAAACAATTGTTGTTGTTGTTGTTAAGTGCCATCGAGTCAGTTCC